ATTCACGCCAACAAATTTTTTTCTTTCAATGGATAATTGTTGAGATGGGGGGAGGGAGCTGTTATTAAAAAAATTCTTATTTCATGTGAATTTAAAAACGTTAAAAACATTGCGTTGGTCGTTATTTTTAATCGACAATTTGTCTGACGCTGATCTGACATAATATCACGGGGAAAAATTGACACATTTCACGAATAGAATGGAACAAAACTTCCATGAAATAAAATAAAAATATCGTCCTCGATAGGTTAAAGATCAGAGATATTCGCGAGAGAGAAATTAATCGCGCCGAATACTACTCAGCCGAGCAACAGTAAAATCCCCGGATAATACTGAAGGCGGCTCGCGTAGAACGTAGAACTCCTTCATAGCCTGTTCAACACGCCGGAACATTTGTTAGCGTCTATGGTGATCCTAAGCCCTGACGGAACTCCCGGAGAAGCCGGTCGAATAGGATTTCTTGCCGGTTTTACAAACTCCGTCCATTTAATCCGTTGGATTCTTTACACTGGATGTACGATGTACGTGAATAATGAACAGGAAACAGAAACGATTCGCGAGGAATATTTATTACATTGAAAAACCAGAATTATCATTATTATTTTTGAATCAACATTTTATCGTTAACAAACTTTTAATCTTATCTATCATCTTCAAGGAGTAAAATTCTAAAAGAAGAAAGAAAGAAAGAAAGAAGAAAAAAAAAAAGAATCGCGAATATCGGTCAATGAAATAATTAGTATTTTCGGCTCATCTTTAATTAAAATTATTTCTGATTGAGATGAGTGAGAAATTGTGAATGAAAGCGTGACACCATAACAAATGTAAATTAATAATGAAAGTAAAAGTAAACAAGAAGAATTGTATCAAGTATCGCGATTACCAGAATCGAAAAGTAAATGGTATCTCGCGAGATAGTAACTCTGAAAGTTTAAATAGCAATTTGCACAGCTATTTGTCGCCCTGAATATTGCATCAGATAGTCGACACGTGAGAAAAAGAAGAAATTTCGAGCAAAAAATAAAGTAGAAGATAAAGTAAATTTAAAAATTCTGAGTCAAAAAAGTGTAATGATGCTTCTATTTTCGGATCCATTTATTAACTGTTAAACGCGTTTCTTTTTTTTTTTACGATCGAGTTAACGCGACGAAATGAAACTGTTCATCGATTTAAATTAATTTTCGTGATACAGAGTTAGCAACCGATGATGCGTCTGGAATCCATCGCTAGCTTGTCAACGCGAACGAAATAGAGGGAGCACGAACGATTAGAATTCTCGGTTAGAGACCGTGCTTGTGACAGGTTAGACAACGTTCTATGATTTGAACAGTTTCGATCTCCTGACGGAATGTCTGTGGTCTTGGATTTCGATACTGTAATATGATCCAATCTGTGATAACGGTAGGGAGTTTAATGATCACTATCCTTGATAAATATCGCTTCGATTTGATAATACGAAATTAATAAAATAACGAGCAATCTTGGTTGTAGAAAATCGTACGAGTAAATTGTATCGAAACTCGCATGCTTTTTTGTCGCGCATGCGCAACGTAGTTCAACACGTATGATAAATCGCGGAACGCCATGAATTATTTTTCTTTCTTCTTTTTTTCGTGGTATATCACTTGCACTCGTTGCTTCATATTCTTTCACGGTTCTTTATCTATCCCGTGAAATCCACACAACTTTCTTTTCATCTCGCCGATAAACGCGAGTATGATTATATATGGAAAAACGAATCAAAAATAAAAGTGTTTATAAATGGCGAAATGACTGTGACTTCCGATTGAGCGGAATGTATATCAAATATCCTCGTACATACAGATTTTAATAATTTGTAACAATTGTGCGAAAAATATGTTATAGCAATAATAGATTTCTATTAATCTTGCACCATTTTCTTTATCCGTTAAAAAAAATCGAAATTCAGATACGTGAATTATTTATTAAACAAATATGTATAAATTTATGAATTATAACCGATGAAAATTGTTAATGAAAAAATACATACAATTACATATTTAGATATTATTATATAAAAATTTTCATAATTATTTATGTAAATATATGTTTGTTAAATTTAGTATTTTGTATAAATTATTCATTATATATAAATGCATAATATCATTTATAATATCATCATATTTATAACGATCATTTATAATGATATTTTATTGCATTCCACAAGATATGTTACCAATGGTTATAGAAATCTTTTTAGGATCAATATTTTTTTAAAAGNGTATGTATTTATATACTACTTCTTTTTAGTTAAAATATTAAT